CTCTCTCTCTCTCTCTCTCTCTCTCTCTCTCTCTCTCAAATAAATAAAAATAAAAAATAAACCTTCCCCTAATTAATTTTTCTTGAAAGTCATCATTTCCAAAGTGTGGGTTCTAATAAATATTACCTAAAAAGAAGACTTTTTCAGTCAAGAAAGTGAAGGAGACAGTTAAATAATTTTTCCTAAAGAAATTCCCAAGGGCTTCATGTGATAATAGACATGCATTAGTTATCTATTATGAGATAATCAATTGCCCCAAAATTAGAGGCTTAAAGTACAAATAGACATTATTTCATCATTTCAGTGAATCAGGAATTCAGGAAAAGCTTAACAGAGTGATTCTGCCTTGAGGTCTCACGTGAGGTTGCAGTTGAGATGCTAGACAAGGCTGCATACTCTTGAAGGCTGACCAGGGCTGTAGGATCTACTCCCAAGGTTGGCCAACTGATGCTGGCTATCTGCAGGGAATCTCAGTTTCCTTCCACCTGGACTCCTCCACAGGGCTGCTTGGGTGTTTCCTGAGAAGGCAGTCAGTTCCTCTGGAATGAATGACCCAAGAGAACAAGAGGGGAAATCAGCTTCTCTGGAACCTAGGCTCACACACCATCACTTCTGCAATATTTCATCGACTACCGTGTTCCTCACTCAGTGTGAGAGGGGTTATATATACAGGAGGTAAGGGACATGGAGGGCCATTTTAGAAGCAGGATAGAGCCATATATTGAATTAACATTAATGGAACACGCCAAGACACTAGGGTTTTATGGTTTACTCATTGTGGAAAACTACTGTGAGTGAAAGGGTCTTAGAAAGTAGGGAGGCTTAGGGGCTTATAAGGGTCTTTTAGGCTTAGAGGAAAGCTACTATGGGATAAAGGTCAAAGAGGCTCACCTTTGGAGGGGAGGATGCGAGTCCGACTGGAGGAAAAATCCGGAAAGAATCTATTTATGTGCCTGTTCGTAGAAGGACTCCCAGAGTAGAAGACATAGAAGCAAGATTTAGGGTCTCACCAGGAACTTGGGCTCAGAGACCACTCACTCTAAAGAAGATTTTCCAGTTAAGAAACCCTCACACAGGATTTCCTCACCAGTCTCAAACGTTTAAACCAAAGCTGTTTTACTCCCACTACCCTATGCCAAACATGCAGAGAAAAAGTCAAAGTTCACAGGCTGAAAGGAAGAACTGTTTTCACAGAATCCCTAAAATATGGAGAAAGAGACAGACCACAGGGCTCAGCACTTCGGAGCTGAAAGCATCCAGAGTGCCACATCCTGTGACATTGTGTGTGCTTTTTTCAGGGCTGTTTTCAACAGGACCTCAACATGGTCATTGGCATCTGTGCCGAGACTACGTAAGGCCACTTGAATGATTCAGATCACAAAAGTCTTTGTGTTTGCGAAGGTCCCAGCCTGGCGTCAGAACCACAGTGCTTGGAGGAAATGAGTTCTCACCAAATGTTTTATTTACAGTGACGATGTCCACAGATAGAAAAAAGAGAAAGTATACAAAGGAAAACAAGGATGGAGAGTGGTCACGAAGAAAACAAGGGGAGGTACGAGATTAAAAGGGAAGGAATTTTTAAAACGTGAAGCTTATCTGAAAATATTACAGAAAAACAAATGTATACCCTCATTGGAAGTCCCCAGACTCAGCCCTGACGGCCCAGCCACTTTCCCAAACGCCCCAAGTGAGCTTTCAGCGTCACTCACCACAAGGTGGCGCTCTTTGGACTTTCTTCCCCCAAAAAAATATGAAAGGGGGAAGAGGGGAGGGAGAAAAGGCAAAGCACTGCCCCAACCAAGAACAATTTGAAAACCCACCCCATAATACTTAAAATCTGGGACAAAGAACCGTCAGGACGGAACTGCTTCGATTGCAAAACCTCGGCGCAGCCTGGGGAGCATCCCGGCGGCCTGAACCCAGAGAAGCCCCTTGAAAATCGAGGAGTACAGTATTGGGATTCTTGAAACCTGAAACCTAGAAACAGAACCGCAGCGGAAACCAGAGGGAAAACCTTGAACTGCTCCAGACAATTGCTTCCGGGGAGTTTGGAAGGAGCGAGGGGGACAAGGGCCCGGCTGCAGCGCCCCGCGGATGGGGCGCCCCTGAGGGTCGTGGCGAGCGCGGAAGCGGAGGCCGGGCTGTCGCGGGGCTGCAGGTCATGGCCACGGCGGAGCGCAGAGCCCTCGGCGCGGGCTTCAAGTGGCTGTCTTTGGCAACTCTTGCACTCATCTGCGCCGGGCAAGGGGGCCGCAGGGAGGATGGGGGTCCAGCCTGCTACGGGGGATTTGACCTGTACTTCATTTTGGACAAGTAAGTGCTGGGGTCGCTGCAGCCTAGGCAGGGCTGCCCAGCAGGGTCGCGTTGGGACCGGAGCGCATCTCGGGGACCTGAGGGGCCGCGGGAGGTGGTGGCAGCCAGCGCTGCGCCTTTGTTGAGGCGCGCTCCTCCCATCCTCTCCGGCGCTGACCCAGCCCTCCGGGAGGCGACGCTGCCTGTTTGTCGCCTCTTGGGTCTTGCTTTCCGTGACCTCGAGCAAACGAGAGACTCGGAGGATGCTATTGGCTTAGCCCTGTTTGTGTGACTTCTTCCCACGTTGGCGATGAAGGCTTGCTTACCAGGGGCAGATCTTGCAGCACCTCTTACTGTAGTTAGAAGTAAGCGCGGGCATTTCAAAGCCAATCGTCTCTTTTTAAAAACAAAATGCATTCCCTTTGTTCCTGATAATATAATGCATCTTCTTTCTAAGCGTTGAGTGAAAACATCAGTCAGGGGTTCTCAGCCTCTGCAGTGCTGAGTCTTAAGCTTGGTGATTCTTTGTTGTGGAGCTGTCCTGGGAGGTGCAGAATGTTCAGCAGCACCCCTGGTCTTTATCCACTAGATGCCGGGCCACTTTGCCCCTTCTCGGTTACTGGTGACACCCAAAAACGTCTCCAGACATTGCCAGATTACAGTATTCCCAGCGAGTAAATTCTCTCTTTCCTTAGGCTTAGAACCCAGATATAGACAAATTCAAGCTTTTGACTAATGGGCTACCCGGGAGATGCAGGAGCGCTGGTTTCCTTGCTAAAAGGGATAGCGTTAGGCTTCAGAACTTTGTTCAGGGAAGAACTGAACTCTAACCAATTAAACACTTCCCAGATCCCCAACCGTTTGCCAAGCCGCAGGCACCCAGAAGCTTCATGCTTTCTGCTGAAAACCAACTTTAACAATAAAAAGCCCCTCCAAGAAGATCCCTGCTCTTTAAAACTGCTAGCAGTCGGTGCCAAGGAGAGGCACTTGCACTTACAATGGTAGGGAGATGAATTTCACAGAGTGGAAAGTTTTGGGGAGTTGGAAACAGAGTCCTGCAAAATAAGCTGGCCAGCTAGACACCAGATGTGCTTTGCAGTTGCCCCTGGAGTTTGGTTTTTCCGTAAAGGCTGTTTTGAATCCAGATTCTTTGGATGAAAAGTGAGATCTCTTTCTTGCAGATTTATGAGAAGGTGGATACTGAAAATACAATCCAATGCTAAGAAATGGAATTTCTTCTGTTACTTCCAGGGGCTGAGAGCACTAGCCACAGACTCAGGGATGGTGTCTGAAAGCACTCAGATGCTCATCATTTGTGCTGTTTAAAATACTAACTCAGGGGGACATACAAGGAAACCTAACTGGTCAGAAGCACCATTCGCTGTGTGGCATGACTGCATCCTATAAAGATAATCCATTCTTCCTGAATTAACTTATAAAGTGAATTAACTTTTCAGTGTAGTCCAAGTTCTGAAATTTATTTGACTGGTGGGAAGAATTTAATAAAATGACTTTAAGCTTTTCTTAGAGGGGGAAAAAGTTTTTAAAAAAAGAGCTAAAATATTTTTGAAAAATAACAAAGAAACATTTTCTCTCCCATATTAAAATGTTGGAAGGCAAATTAACAAAAACTGGATGGTGAAGACCAAGGGTTAGGTAGACACAATAGAAAATCTAGATGTAGATCCAAGTACAACTCAGCATTTAGTAGAATTTCAAATCGGTACGGAATGAACTCATTGTTTTCCAAAGTGGTTTTTGGACACATGGTTTATAAAATGGGGAAAGAAAAAGGTTTGATTTATACTTTACATCACAAATCAAAATAAATCCCAGAAGGATTAGAGCTTTAAAAGTCTAAGTGAAACTATCAAAGAACTGGAAGATAATTTAGATGAGTGTTACTGTAACCTTAGAAGATAATTTAACAATTATTAAAGTAGTCCTAGCTTTAGCATTTTTAAAGCATGACAATAATGCAGGTACTATAAAGGAAAGAGTAGAGATTTGAATAAATTAAAATTGCATGTTCTGTAAGTGAAAAAGACCTCAAATGAAATAGTCACTCTCTGAAGACTGATCCCAAAATGTAAAAAGTAAGGAGCTGGGTGTAGTTGGTGGCTCAGTGATAGAGTGCTTGCCCAGCATGCATGGGGCCTGGACTCAGTCTCCAGCACTGCCTTCCCATATTAATGAATTTTAAAAATATACACAGTGGTTTAAAAAAGAGCCTACCTGCATAATTCACAAAAGAATAATATATGTTAAAGACAACAAGTGAACAAAAAAGTTCAACTTCACTAGTAATCAGAGAAATGAAAATAACAAATGACATATAGTTTTTATTAGGTTGGCAAAGACTTTCAAAGAATTACTCAGCCAGCCCCGCCTTCAGAGCACGCTGAGACGGCAATTGAGACTGGGCGTGGTAGTGAGCACCTGTGATCCCAGCGCTTGGGACGCTGAAAACAGGAGGATCACTACCAGTCTGATCTGTGAATTGAGACCCTATAGATCTTGCACTAAATACATTAAAATAAAAGAATTACAGTATTGAGGATTGACCAAAGTGTGGGCACTGTCATATGTTAATAAGGAAAATATTAATGAGTGTTCTTTCTAGGCTTGTCCTGTCCAGTAGGATTTTCTAGGGTGGTGGACTGGCTTCATGTCTGTGCTGTCCAGGATAGAAGCTGCTAGACATAGGTAACTATTGAGCACTTTGAATGTGGCTAGTGACACCGAGGAAGTGATTTTTTTTTAATTTTTCTTAATTTAAATTTAGATAGCCACATGTGAATACCACATGCAGTAGTATAGACAAGAAGATAATTTGGTAACATGTGTCAAATGGTTTTAGAAAAACCAAGACTCTGACTTTCACCCTACAGTTTCATATTTTAAAGAAGAAAATCCAATGGACACAAGAAGCACCTAAATGTATGTTCATGACAGTTCTGCCTATAAAAATAAAAGATGGTAATTACTGAAATTTCCAACAGTAGGAGATTTAAGTAAGGCATGGCATATGAAGAATATTGACAATGCATTCTGTATTATGCATGCTGGTTAGATCTTTTAAGAAAAAGGCAGAGAGGGGGCCTGCCCCTTAGCTCAGTTCTTTAAGTGGCTGCTTCAACAAAGCAGTCAGGCTCAGGTTGCTGTGGTTCGATCCCCACAACACAAGACAGCCAGTCATGCCTTGAAGGCATTCGGCACAAAAAAAAAAAAAAAAAAAAAGAAAAAAGAAGAAAAAGGCAGAGTGCTTAAAATATACTCGGGTAAAATTACATTAAACATTATATTATGAGCCTACCTTTGTAAGAAGTTAAATACATACATGCATATGTCCATATTTATCTGAGATGATAAAGGTATTTCTCTCTAGAAAACAGCAGTTTTAACTTGTTTTTATACTTTTCTGAAACTTCAAAATCTTTTATAAAAACTTTTTTTTTTTTCGGAATGAGGGATTGAACTCAGACCTTTGCACTTGCCAGGGAAGTGCTTATTCTACTGAGCCATCTCCTGGCCCCAAAACATTAATTTTATATTCAATAAAGTAAGTTATTTTGAGTTTTTTAAAAACTGAAGAGTGGAGAGGATCTCTAACCAGTGCACTGAGTTTGCCAGCCCTCCCTATGACAAAGGAAGTTGCTTCTTTTATATTTAATCCTGGAATGAATCTTTAAATGTATTATTACTTCCTTTGAAAAACATTAAGAATCCAAAAATGTTCAAGGAGGAGCAACAGTGAAAGAACTTTACAGGCATGTAACTTTACATTCAGGTGGATACCTCTGACTTCCTTTGGTTGTCTTACTGCCTGAAGACAGGGATACTTGTAGGCTAAAAATAAACAACATGCTAGAATTTAGTATGACTGTGTGTACATTCCAGCCTGCCATCTTGATTTATGGGATTATTGAATCTAGAACTCAGGGATGGGTTGACAGACTGTCTTGCCAAACTGGCCTCTGGGCCATACCTAAAGATATGTTCTTCTGTCCTAGAAAGAAGCTTCTAGGACATTGCTGTTCAGCACCCAACCACAGCAGAGTGGGAAGGGAAAGAATGACTCGTTTTTTTCCTTGGGCTTCTCAGATCCTTTGGCTGGTGAGACACTGTCTGCAGGCTGAAACCAGTGGATCACAGGGAATTAAATCCACCACTGTCCTTCTCCCCACCCCTGAAACTCCCTTTCTCCCTGCAAATGGTTCACTTTCCCATGGCATTAAATCTCAGCTCATTTCAGCTTCGAGCAGATGCAGCTCTGGCCTGGAGGGAGCCCAGATTATACATTTAATGGAATGTCGTGTTTTCTCAACCAAGAGCAAAGACAGAGTAATGATAACCTAGAACACCACAGTAACACAATAGGGCATTATTAGCAGCTTTGGTGACGGGGCTGCACAAGGCTTTACACTGGTGGAATTTCATGTTCATTTAAACATGCTTTTCTGGTTATAGTCAGGAAAAGTAGAATGCTGGGAATTCAATCAGGGGTTTGAAAAGTCAGATTTGGAAGGTCTCTGTCCAGAGAAAAACAGTAAAGAAACAGCTCACCACTTTTAAGTCTTCCAGGGGTCTTCAAAGATTAATGCACTCCATTTGGCCAAACTTTCCTCTCTCCCAGGGACCGTTTTTATGATAGCATATATTTATATATCACATATTGGTCTGTTTTATAGAGAGCTATTAGTCACTTAAATGAAGAAAGTGGATTTTCCATTCTGAGTCTCAAGAAAGGGCTGGCTTTGGAATATGTGCCTTAAAGACTTCAAAAATAGAAAGTGTGGAAGACAGCAGGACCATGGAAGAGGTGGTGGGCTAGGAAGTAGCAGTAGGTGCTGAACAGCCTTTTCATAGGAATTTTCAAAGCCAAGGCCTGCCATATCTTTCCTGTACCCAATAGATCGCTGTATATTAAAGGGCCCACCACACTTTGTATGCTCCTGCCTATGAGAACCCCTTGACTCCCCTCTTCCTTTTGCACAATTTTTTCTCCTTTTTTCCACATA